TTGCTGGAAAGCAATAAAAAACCAATTTAAACTCAAACCTAATCTCTATGCTGAATTCAAATCTTACAGAGTATCCTTCAAAGAGAAGTTAACCATGTACAGAATAATATGTGCAAGGAGATACAAGACATATTCTGATTTTTCCAACCTCAGTAGCATTTGGAGGGTATTGGAAAAGATCATTAAAAAAATTAAAAAAAATCAATTATTTTGAGGAGCTAGAAAGACAGCTTGCAGTCGGGCATGGTGGTGCATGCCTTTAACTTCCGTGAGTTCAAGGCCAGCTTGGTTTACATAGCGAGTTTCAGGCCAGCTGGGGCTACAGGGAGACAAGAGAGGGAGAGAGAGGGAGAGGGGAAGAGGGGAAGAGGAGAAAGGGGGGAAAGAGGGGAAGGGGGAAGGGGAGGGGGAGGGGGAGAGGGAGAGAGTACCTACATAGCAGCTAGCAACTCTCTTGTAACTCCAGTTCCAGAGGATCAGATGCCCTCTTCTTGGCCTCCGTGGGCGTTGCACAATGGGTACACTTACATGCAGACAAAACACTCACACATATTAAAAAAATTTTTAAAATTTAAACCCCACTATTTAATTATACACTAATGTGAAACCAAAGTAAATTGTCTCTAAGATAGTTGATCTGACTACTAGAAAAAGAGGAACAGTACAATTCATTTTATGAAGCCAATGCAACCTTTATGGGAGATCAGAGAAGGGAAAGCAAAGTTAGTCATTTCCAATTTAAATGGAATTTACCTAAATCCAACATTTATTAAACTTGCATTGTCATCAAAGTAGTGTGTGTCTCAAATATAATGGAGAGATGAACATGAGAAAGTAGACTGATACACATAAATGGAAGTATCATGATAAAGCTCAGCATCTTGTACTATTAGTTGGTAACCCCCCCCCCACGCACACACACAGGAAGACAACATCAATGAATTTAACAGCCGTTGAGCCACATGCTAATGGGCAAAAGGAAAAAGAACCACTGTATTAGTGCACATAGTGTTTCTTTTACTTTTGGGGGGGGGGTCTTTTTGAAACAGGGTCTCCCTACAGCCTCAGCTGGCCTGGAACTATAGACCAGGCTAACTCTGAACTCACAGATTCATCTGCCTCTGCCTCCCATGTGCTAACACTACAGGCGTACACCACCTCACCCAGCTGAGCTTCTTTTTATCTAGTGGGGGACTTGTGCACCGCATGTGTGCATGTGTGTGTGTGTTCGGAAGAACCCTTTGTGTAGTCAGTTCTCTCCTTCTACTGTGTGGGTCCTGGGGATTTAACTCCGGTCATCAGACTTGGTGGCAAGCACCTTCACCCACCCACCCACCCACCCATCTTATTGGCCCTAAAAATTTTAATATTATTTTTATGTGTATATGTGTATTGTGCAGGTAGGTAAGTGCACCCATGTTGTGCAATGTCCGAGGACGACAGAAGAGGCTGTCAGATCCACTGGAACCGGAGTTACGGACAGTTGTTAGCTGCCATGTGGGTACTGGGATTCGAACCCTGGTCTTCTGCAAGAACAGCCAGTGTTCTTAACCATTGAGCCATCTCTCCAGCCCATTTTTAAAAAAATTGTATGGGTGCATATGTTATACTTATGTGGTGGCCAGAGGGGGATTTGAGTGTCCTCCTTTGAGACGGGGGTCTCTCACTGAACCTGGTGCTAGGTCTTCAGCCAGCCAGCAAGCTTCAGGGATTTTCCTGTCTCCACCCTCCACATTGCTGGGTTATAGGTGTGCATTGCCACACCTGGCTTTTTACATAGATGTTGGAGATTTGAACTCAGGCCAACTCTCCACAGAACTGGGCAGCTGCTTTATTTCTCTTAGTTTCTATGCTGTGTTTGGGGCAGCTGGTACTAATCAGTGGCTAGGCACTTGGTTCCTTATGTGTCTTCCTGATGATCCCATTCCTGGAGAGATTCCAAGAGGGAGAAAGTAGAAGCTACCAGAAATCCTAAGGACCAGCCTCGGACATTGCATGTTACTTTAACCCTCTATTGGATACAGGGAGTGACACCCACTCTCGACTGTCTTCAAGTGTATCTTTCTGCTTAATCTAAACTAACTTTGCTTTACTTTGCTCATCTGAAATTCTTTATTGTGGTTGACATCAAGGACCCAGGGACACATGAAAAGGCCCCCTGAGATTGGGGATGGGGGGGCTTGGGGGAGGCCTGAGACTGCATTGTCTACAATCTTAAGTTGCATTTCCTGCTGCTGCTAAAGCTAACAGAAAAAAAATTAAAGGAAATACTTCAAATGTTTCTCCACAAGAATTGTTAACATTTTTATGGATATTCTTACCAGGTTAACAACATTCTCCTTTTCCTAATTCCTGAGTGATATTATTAGTAACTGGTAGATATTATTGAGTTTGAATTATAAATGCATGATGAATTTCATTATTTTTTCTGCATGTATTAAGATAACTCCTTTTTTGCTTTATACTATTCATGATAAATTACATGGTGATACTGTTAAAATTATTTTTGGTGCCCCTGATTCTTGGCATACAATACTAAAACACTTCAAATCTCTGAAACATAATGAATTCAGAGTGCCTGGGCTAGTCTTTGGAAAGACCCAGGAGGGCTGCCTAGCCCCCAACCTCTGAGGAAGGGAAAAATGCTGACACCTAAGTTGATCATCAATGGCCAATGATTTAATCAATTTCATCTATGTTATGAACCCTCTATGAAAATCAAAAAGGGAAATGGGAGCATTTCAAGATAGAACATTTGAAGACACAGCTCCATGCCCCTTCTTCCATATTCCACCCTTATACATCTCCTCACTTGTGTTCTTGATTTCCATGAGATTAAGCAAATCAACCCAACCTACAGTAGGGGTCATAGGAACCTGGATTTATATGTGGTTGGCAAGAGCAAATGCTATCTGGGGGGGCAGTCTGGGGACAGAGCCCTCTCAGCCCTGTGATCTGAAATAAGTAAATAAGGTCAGAAAATAATTTAATCAAAGCACACCCTGCTGGTGGGTGCTGCTGCAGAACTGATTCCTGGTGGGGGGAAAACCTCACCCTTTCAAGTCCTGCACGTGTATTGATCATTGTGACAGGGTTATTAGTGGTTAAATCCATGCTGGCCCCCAACTCACAGAGATCCACATGTCTGCCTCCTGAGTGATAGGATTCTTAAAGGAGACAAGAGAAATAACAAATAAAATGTGCTGGCCAAAGTTTGGATGTAGGTTAGAGTCTACTGTAAAAAAAATGATGTAATTAGAAAAGCTGAATCCAAACCAGTTATTGATACTGAGGAATTCTACATGTAATAATGACAGCGGTAAAGTGACGTATGCCTATAATTCCAAATGTGGCAGGAGGACTGTGAGTTTGAGGCCAATCTGGACTATATAGTGAAACCCTGCTGAAAAAGGGGGAAAAAGGTACCAGCCTGGGAAAGAGGGAAAGATCAAACAGAGGCAAAATGTTAATTGTTAAACCTTATCGCTATCAGGGCTGATCACCGTATTCTACATTTGAAAAAATATTTTTGTTTGCTCCTGGAGACAGTCATAGTCACTATGTTGATACTATGTAGCTCATGGAGACCTTGAACTCTCAGCAGTCCTGCCTCAGCCTCCCAAGGACTGGTATAACAGGGTGAGCCACCATGCCTGGCTAGTCTCTCAGAATGCATCCCCTGCAAGGCTTTTCTTTCCCAGATTCTGTGCAAGCTAGCAACTTCGTCTCCCTGAAACTTATTCACATCTTTACCATCACAGTACATTTCACGCCTACATTGACAATTTAAAGTTTGTAATTGTGTGTTCATGTTATACAAGGGCTCTACTATATTCTAGATGTGTAGTGCAAAAAACAGGTATGTTTTCGACGTTGGTTGGAGAGTGAACAGTGCAGACTGGGAAACAATATGTAAGCAAATGTGCACTCGATGGTGGGCAGGAAATGTACAGATAGATTCTAAAGCAAGGTACTTATTCTAGAGGGTAGTCAAAGATGACCTTTCAGAGTCAGAGCAAGACTCCAAAGAATATCTGCGTTCTGGAGTGTACGTTACATCCCCCTATTTACGTTGAAATTCTAATTCCTCCTGTCATCCCCAGTGATAGTAATGAAAGACGATTAGCACCTGTATTATTAAAGTGCCAGTTATAACTTTTAAGTTGTATGCGAAGTCCAAAGAGCTTGTACTTTGTGTTTTTATTAACCGTGTTAAAAAGCGCAGAAAACCGAGGGCCAAGAGCAACCAGGAAAAGGGTCCTCATTAGAACCACCTTTCCGCACACGAGAAACCAATTTGTACCCGCAAGGCCGGCGCACCTGCCAACCAAGTGTGCCGCCCCCCCCGGGGGGGGGGTCGCGGGCGCACGTGTTCGGCACCGGGCTGAAACTAACATTTCGCACATTTACATCCTGGCGTGTTTTCTACTTGTAACTTCCCTTTATATGAACAAGTCATTTTAAATAGGGACTTTCACGCACTGGCCAGTGATGAGCGTGGCTGTATCGGCAGCTGGAGCATCTCAAGTCTCCGGAATTCTGCACACCTGGGCTCTCCTTACTTGAAGGAGCAGACCAGGCTAGCGACCGGCGGCCGGGCTGCCACTGACGGACGCCGGGACGGGCAGGCCCCGGAGGGAGCCCCAGGGAGGGTGGGCCGGGGCCGGGGTCCTCACGCTCGCCACCTTCCTCTCACCGCGGACCACGAGCTCCGGAAACCCTGCGAGGAGCACCACCCTCGCGGAAGCAACTCCCAGCCTCACCTTCGGCCTCGCCTTGGCTCCGCCCTTCTCTCCCAACGCCCGGGTCACGGGAGAGCTCCCCGCCTCTGTGGCACCACCACACTGACTCCTTCCCTCCGCAACCGCGCAACAGGACTCTGATTGGTTGACAGGGAGGTCTACGCTGAGAAAGAGTGCCGGCGATAGGCTGGCCGCTAGTGCGGCGGCGCGTAAGCTGCGTGGAGCGTGGCTCGTGATTGGTCGGTGGCTCCGTCCAATCGGCGGCGAGCTGTCGGATTCAAATCCAGAGCATTGGGCCGGCGTTCGTTGGTCTCAGTCAAGTAGTTGTACTGATCTTAGCCGGCCGCGTCCTTTGTTGCGCCCTGTTCTGTGTTCTCGTTTTCTCCTCAGGATGGCCCAGAAGCAGATCTACTATTCGGACAAGTATTTCGACGAGCACTACGAGTACCGGTGAGCAGCCTCCGCGGAGCTGAGGGGAAGGCAGCGGCGCCGGCATGCCGCGGAACCTGAGGCATGTGCTCACTGTGCTCCGGCGAGCAGCCAAATTGTTCCTCAGCGCGTCTCAGCTGTGCGGGCCGGAAAGCCGCCAGCCGGGACACTCACCGCGGGGCTGGGGCCCCCTGGGGAGTCACGGTGACTCGGGCCCGCCGTCCTGCTTTTGGAGCCTGTAGTGCTGAAAATGGCCCCGAGAGAAGGCCCGGAAGCGGTGGGGGATTTGCGAGTGTGTGTGGGGTGGCGTCCGCGGCAGACTCCAGGACTCCGCGGAGATACTTTTCCTGCTTGTGTATCTAAGTTAATTGTGGGGCGTGGACAGGATTTCACGTAGCCTTGCTGTATCCACACTAACTGGAGGTGGGGTTTCAAGGGCCCTTCCACCCCTGGTGCTGCGGGCTGGTGGCTGGAACGTTACATTCTGGGAAACGGCCCACAGGCTGACCGAGGTGCCGTGAAGGCCACGCCATCCCGGGCCAAATTGGGACCTTGATTTATTAATGTTTCTAGCTAGCAAAATCTCGTGGGGGGGGGTTGGCTATACAATTTAAGTGGACTTTTATCTTGACCTAGTCATAAACTTCAGTTATAATCATGTAATAAGGTGGCATACTGTTTGGTTGCTAAAGAAACCAGAGCCCGGCTTGGAGATATCCAATAATCGACAGAATAAATTTGCTGTCTTTCCAAGACCTGGCAAACTATTAATTTTGAAACACGTTGGATCCATGTGTTTAGAATAAGGGTTTGTAGGCTTGTATATATTTCTTCAGGACATTCAGAGTAAGATACTTTTTAACTATCAGTCTGTTCCATTATTAGCTCATATAAATGAGCTATGATAGACACTAAAGCGCACTGAGTTGCGTGTGCTGTAGGAGCCGGTCTACCACCCCCTACTATACTGTGGAGCTCAAGAGTTCTACCACTGAGTTACACCCCCAACCCTTAGATTTTATTTTGCAACAGGATTTTACGTTGCTTTGACTGGCTTCAAACTTGTCATTCTCCTGACTCAGCCTCCCAAGTAGTTGGGATTATAGATGTCCTATCATATTTGGCATGAGCTTAATTGAGCAAGCCATTTACCTTTATGATAAATAATCCACAGAGAGCTACTTAACCACCAAGGGGTGAAGTTAGGATGGTTTGTATATAGTGGTGCTCCATGTTGGATAATTCTAAAGTTATTTTTGTCAAGTGGTAGTTACTATATTTTTATTTGCAACTTAATTTCCTAGGCCTCATTTTTTTGAGTTCTTTTCTGAAGGACATAGCAGTGAATTGCCTTTCTTCCATAATACCATGGGTACCTGTCTTCACAGGACGAAAACTGAGGATTTTGCTCAAGCACTTTTATAAAGTAGCAATACTTGCCACTACTTTTTGTATCCTAACTGAACTAAAAACTGGATTTTGGAAATTGTCCTTACATGTAGTTACTTAATGCCTTGTTGGTATATTCCTGTAGTATGTTTGTGAAAGCAGATGTAGAAAGCATCACATTTGTCTTTTCAGACTGACACTGAAGGGAGTATAAAGATCACAACATTTTTTCTTTTTTTGGTACAGCCTTAAAAATTAGATCATGTAGGTCACCAGGAGTGTGGTAACTGGTATGTACTAAGAATCCTTACATAGTTCCCTGGTATTGGTGAAAAAAAGTCAGTTTTCCCTGGTAGTAAGCATAGTTTTACTTATTGAACTCTTGGTAAAATTGTTTTGAGGATCATTTGCATTCTGCAGATAATAAATCTGTACTTAATCACAACCCAAAATCTATGTTGCTTGGCAGTGTGGTGCTTAAAATGGGTTGTAGGTTGAGCTGTTCCACAAAATATGTGAGCAGATCTGTACTTATATCCCTGTCAGCTCACAGATGTATCTTATACTAGTCAAAAAAGTTGTTGGTGATTATTAGAAAATTACTACCCAAAATGGAAAAATGAATTAGGGCTTCAGTAAATTTTTTTGTGGTAATTAAATGCTCCCAAGGGAAGAGTACGGATTTGTGCATACATAAGTTACAGTTATACATACTCTTTTTTAAAATATTTTTATTTTATGTGTGTGAGTGTATTGCCTGCAGGTATATGAGTGTACCCATGTCGTGCAATGTCACGGAGGTCAGAAGAGGGCTTCAGAGTCCCCTGGAACTGGAGTTAACGCCAGTTTGTAGCTGCCACGTGGGTGCTGGGAATCGAACTCGGGTCCTCTGCAAGAACAGTGCTCTTAACCACTGAGCCATCCATCTCTCCAGCCCCTAGTTGTACATATTCTTAATGATTTGACATTGAAGACTTACTACACGCGTGCTTACAATTTTGGGTATGGGCCAGTAACTTAATGGAAAAACTAAAGGTCTGTATGAAGTTGCAAAGACATGTGTATTTGTAGTTAGTATTCTTTCTTTAAATTTTAAAGTATAAAGCAACCTATGGAAGTATCTGCTACAGAAATAAGTTAACTTGGTTTTTTTCCCCCTCCGCTTTGTAAAGTTCCAATAATCCTGGCTGGAATGACAGCTCATTAATTCTGGAACGAGGCTCCTTGCTCTTGTAATATTACTGTACATTCTCCATTTACAATCACCTTTGTGGCTTTAGCTTGCTGCTCTAGCTATCCTGAGCCAGAACTATCAATCTGTAGCCAACAGGAAAATGTGGGGCATATTCTTTGCGTTTGGTATGATCTTTCCTTTGAGTATACTTTTCATGGCTTGAATATTTTCTGCCTATATCCTGTTGGTAAAGAGTTGGCTTTTATGACCAAAGGAAGTTGCAGGAGCGAGCCTGGGATGTATAACAATGTAGCTAACTTAGATTTGGGGGTTCTGTTCCTGGAAGATTACTCAATAGCAAATATTCTGTTAGGGAAAAAAAAAAGCCCTAAAAGAAATGCCTTTTGTTTTTGTGCAGTACACTACTGGCCTAATGCTTGAATACAAACCCTCAAAAACCAGAATTACAGGTTATAGCTCCTACCCAAGCTTGATACAAATAGTATAATGACCTAAAGTTCCTTTAAAGAAATTAGTTTGTTTCAAGCACAAAAACTTTCAAATTTTAAGTATCTCCAGTTCATGTTAAGTGATAATGGTAGGAAAAATGAAGCACTGTTTGCTTTATTGTTCAACAGTCATGTCATGTTACCCAGAGAACTTTCCAAACAAGTACCCAAAACTCATCTGATGTCTGAAGAGGAATGGAGGAGACTAGGTGTCCAACAGAGTCTAGGATGGGTTCATTACATGATTCATGAGCCAGGTAAGTTTGCTTAACTACTGTTTAAAATGACCTGATTCCTTAACTCCCTGGATAATGTTCTGCTTTATAGTAGTAACACAGGAATGAAAGTAATTTTTTTCTGCCTATAAAACAGTATTTTTCTGTTTAAGGTAAGTGTCTTAAGTTCTGTACATGAAAACTGCAATTAGCAGTCATTTGTATTCCCTTTAACCCTCTTAAAGGCTATTATCTACCACATTAAGGTTAAATGAGAGCAGCATGACTACAGATTCCACCTGCGTCACATAGCTCGAGTACCTTAGGCTATATTGTGTGATATTAACCAAAAGTTTTTCTTAACTTTAAATAATAAACTAAAAACAGAAGCTTTGTGATGTTGAATATTTCTGAATTATCAGTAAATCTTAAAGAACTTAATGCTTTGAACAAAATTCAAAAAGACGCTACAAAAACTGAGGTGAAACTAAAGCTGTTTTAATAATACTCTTAAATAAAACAGTATTGTCAGAAACTGGAGTCTGTATCAGAACTATCTTCCAAAATCAACTGAGGAACTTTAATATTTTATTTATTTTATGTGTATGAGTGTATTGCCGCATGTGTGTAAGTGCCCCAAGGTCATGCAGTGCCCATGGAGGTCAGAGAGGGTGTTGGATTCCCCTCGAACAGAGTTATGGACAGTTGTTAGCCACCATATGGGTGCTGGAACTCAAACCCAGGTCCTCTGCAAAAGTAGCCAGTGCTCTTAATTGCTGAGCCATCTCTCCATCCCTTTGAGGTAGGGTCTTAACAGAGTTTTACTATAAGGAAGTTTGTCGATCTTTACTGGATTTTTTTGGTTGTTGTTGAAACTTTTTTTTTTTTTTTTTTTTAATTTTATGTGTATTGAGTGTATTGCCTACATGTAGGTAGGTGCAACCCTGTCATGCAACGTTCATGGAGGGCAGAAGAGGGTGTCGGATCCCCTGGAACTGGAGTTAATGGGGACGGTTGTTAGCTGCTGTGTGGGTGCTGGAATTTGAACCCGTGTCTTCTGCAAGAACAGCCAGTGTTCTTAACCACTGAGCCATTTCTCCAACCCTAATAGTTACTGCTTATTATGATATTGAAACAATTCATTTTAGATGCCTCAAATACTAGTTGACTCTGGTACTTGGGCATGAAACTTACTCATTGGTAAATATTTTCTTTCCACAGAACCGCATATTCTTCTGTTTAGACGACCTCTTCCAAAAGAGCAACAGAAGTGAAGTTCATCTGGGATCTTCTAATCTTTTTCAAATTTAATGTATATGTGTATAGATGGTAGTATTCAGTGAATACTTGAAAAATGTACAAATCATTCTCCATACCTGTGCATGAGCTGTATTCTTAACAGCAACAGAGCTCAGTTAAATGCAACTACAAGTAGCTTGTTTTAAGTTGTTAAAGATAAAATTTTCTTATAGTTTTTTCTTAATATAAGTGCCTGTTTTACTTTACCTGTTCCTTTTGTTAAATAAAGTTTGTATGTTGCATTTATCACTTAATTGTAGTATATTTTAATTTGATTTTGACTTTTTCAATAATTTCACTCCTGAGGAAATAAACTTACTTGAAAAGAAATTGAGTTTAAAGTAGCTTAAATGATGGGGTTACTGGGGATATATTTTACTTGGAACGAAAGTATATTTTTCAGCCTTACCACTACTACAGTTCCCAGATAATGGTCTAGAATCTTCAAGTGATAAGAAATGCCCAAAAGAACTATTTGGGTGGCTTCCACATACCTATAAACTGCTGGTAGAAGTTCAGGAGCACTAAAAAAACACTTCATACCATATGTATTTTGCATCTGTTTAGGTTGTCTTTGTCTGAGGGGAAATTAAGTACAGATACATATATGGGATTGCCATGCAAAATGTTTTAAATGAGTGGCCAGTAAACATAAGATCCTGTTCAGCAAGGAAGCCTTTACATCTGAGCACAAAAAACACTAGCTGGCTGAGGAGCCAGGGCTATCCCTTCACTCCAACAGACTTCTGCCTTGGGTGTGTCCTGGTGGAATTCTGTAATAGCAAACCCGTGGGGCCCACCTGGACAGAAACCCCAACAAGAATCGGAACTCTGAATTTCCAGCTTGAAATACCAGCCTTGTGTTCTAGTCTAAACCTCCAGTTTCAACGGAGGTTTGTCAACTGCCTTATATTACAGCAACCCTTCTCTGTTCCTTACACCTTTAAAGTCTGAGTGTCCTCCGTTTCCTTCAAGTGCGTACTGCAGGTTTCTGTTAGTCTCCTGTTCTCCAAACGTTTTACAGACTTCTCGGTGGACCAAACATTCTACCCTTGTAGGTAACTCCCACCCCATGCCTGCAAAAACCATACTTTCACGTCCTACCTACCTCGCCCCACCACACTTGAAATAAGCAGCACTTTGCACACTACGGGCAGTTACTGGAAGCATAGCACACTAAGACTACACTGTAGGCTGTTGGCTCAGGACCAGTGTCCTTTCCGGGAAACTGCACACCATCAGAGGAAGGGCCTTTCCAGGGCACGCCATGTAGGACCTTACCGCTGTCTTACCTGAGTCTCCCTACCTTAAACCACCTTCCCAAACCCCGCTAGGACCTACCTCATTTCCACCTGCGGCCACAGTGCCGGCAGCCGTGAGCACTTCCAGCTGGAGAGGCCCTGTCGCGTTTCGGTGACGTGCTTCCTGGCGCCCCGCCGGAAGGCGGAAACGCCGAGTCGTTGGTTCGGCCCGCCGGTAGCCCCCCGTCGCGGGCTCCGCGGTGGCCGTTATGGCGTCGGAGCAGCCGCGGGAGCGCAAAGGCGAGGTAAGGGGCCGGGTGTCCGCCGTGGGGCCACACACAGGCTGGTCTGCGGGGCCGGCACCGGGACAGGGGCGGCCCGACTCGCCCCCGTCTCCGCCCGCGACGTGATGCCACAGAGGCCAGGGGCCGTCTGGGCCTCCTCGGAACCGCGGCAGCGCAGGAAGTGGCCGCTAGGTGGCGCCCCGCCGAGACCGCAAGGTGGTCAGAGTAACCACCTGCTCCCTGCTGCAGACAGCACTTCTAAGTTCAAGGGCTGCTGGCCAGGGGGTGACTTTCCAGCACACTGTGGTTTACTGAATACAAATAAAATAGCGTGTGCTTTTTTCATTTTGAGAAATTACATGGCGATACATTTCTGCAGTGTGTTTCCAACTACAGTTTTAAGCATTCTTTGTGTATATTTGGTTATAATAGGTCAAGGTTTTAGTGTATCTCATCTATAAAGAAGAGGAAAGTAAAAATAACCGTGTCCAAGTTTAAAACTACAGAAACGTCCCAAATTGTAGCCCTTGTTAGTTATATAACAAGGTTGAATTTTACTTCGACTTTAGTTCATTGTCTTTATTTTTCACTTTTTAATGTCCAAAAACTTTTTCTAATAAAGCATTGGGGAGAAATTGTTATGACGAATTGTCTTTGCTAGTCAGTTTTTAGTCAGCATCAGACCTGTTAGAATGCTTCTTTGGGGGTTTTTCTTTTTTTACATTTGGTGAACCTCAGAATGTTGCAGCCCAAATTCCACCTTTCTTCCTCAGGATAGCATCAAGTTGTCAGTGGATGTCAAACCGTTTGTCCCCAAGTTTGCTGGACTTAATGTAGAATGGTCAGAGTCCTCAGGAGCGTGCGTCTTCCCCAGCTCTGCAACCACTTACTATCCATTTATACAGGAATCACCAGTGACTAAGTATGTATTTTCTAAATGCCTTTCCTGTGTAAGGGGTGTATTTCTTGGATATAATGGTGATTATATCTTTACATACCGTGAAGCTACTGAAGTTTTGCAGATGATGAAAGGATGCTCTTCAACCAAGAAAGGTCTGTAACTTAACTGTATCCTGTGCCCAAAACTCATCTGAGAAGGGGGTTCCTTTGTTCACATTGCTTAAATAGGTCACATAGTTAGGAATTGGGGAAGTGGCTCAGCAGTAGAGTGCTGACCTGGCATGTGTCAGGCCCTGGACTTAATCCTCAGAACCACCAAAGCAAAACTAAGCCAAACAAATCCACATATATAATAGAAAAAATGGCAAGAAGGAAATCTCAATGAGAAAGGGACAAAGGAAGGATCAGATAGATAATATGCCAGCCTGGGCAGTTTAGCAAGATCCCATCTCAAAACAAAGTCAACATGATGCTAGACAGGCTGATCACACTCCAGTGATGAACTCATACCAAGAGACATCTGGGCACGCAAACTTGACTCGATAAGCCTTGACATATATGACAATGCATGAAGTCTTCTGGGTAGGCTATGGGGGCGTGCAGATAGGGGAGGGGGGTCTAAATATGATTAAGATGTATTATATGAAATCCACATATTCAGCAAAATATACATTGTAATAAAATATAAAATAAAATACAAAGTAAACAATGGGCAGGAGGGGCTAGAGAGATGGCTTAGTGGTTGAGAGCAATGGCTGCTTTTCCAGAGGACCAGGGTTGGATTCCCAGCACCCACATGGTGGCCAACAACTGTCTGTACCTCCAGTGCCCTTTTCTGGTCTCTGTGGGCATTGCATGATACATGGTACACTTACATAAATGCAAGCAAAACACACGTACAAAATAAAAATTTTAAAAATGGGTAGGAGATTTATAGCTCAGTGGTAGAGCTCTTGCCTAGCATGCATAAGGCCCTAGGTTCAATCCCTAGTACTACTGAATAAATAATAGTTACCATCTTGTTTGATTTTGGCTTCTGTGCTGTGCAGTATCCTCTTTGTACTCTGGCCTTCACAACAAAGTGCAGGATGTGGTGGAGGGATCGAAATAAGGAAGGGACAGGAGAAGGACAGCAGCAGGGGCCCGAGGTCCAGGAGGGAGGCTATGCATGCTGTAGGGCAACTCTCAGGGATGACATCAGTACAGTGCAAAAGTACTGGAGCATGTTCTTCCTGTGTTGACATTGCTTATGAACATTTTTTTTCTAACTTTATTTTTAGTTACTTTTTTTTCGGTGCTATGGACTGAACCCAGGACCTTGTGCATTTTATACAAGCTGTCTGTCACTGAGCTCATTTATAACCCTGGCTTATTAGGAACAAAAGAAGATCAGCATCTTTCTTTGCAGAGAGAGAAAAAAGTTCCATTTGGCTGTGTGTATGTGTATGCACAAGTATGTGTTGGGTGTGTGGCATAGACATATGTGCATGTGTTGACATTGGGTATGTTTCCTCAATTGCTCATCGCTTTTATTTCTTGGGAAAGGGTCTCACAGTACCTGAAGCTTATCAGTTCAGCTAGATGGGCTGATCAGTGAACTTAGGACTCTTTCTCCACCCCACCCCACCCCAGCCCCTCCAGGCTGGTATTAATAGACATGTGCTGCCATGGCTCCAGAGACTAAATGGTCCTCATGCTTTGCAGCAGGCATCTTACTGGCTCAACCATCTCCCCAGCCCACATTTGACTTTTGATGAGGGGTTTTTCCAAAGCTAGAGTAAGTGATCCTAAAAACATATCATAAAAAGTTTAAATTTTAATCTCTTATAAGACTTTAATGTCTTGATTTGTGTTATGATAAATCTGCAACTGAAATTTATACTTTTTTAGACAAAAAATGTATCCTGAAGATATGGCTTTTGGAGCCTCCACATTTCCAGCCCAGTACATACCATCCGAGATGATGATGCATCCGTTTGCCTATTCTGCATATGCCCTTGAGTCTGGACAGAGTGTTTGCTCAGCGCCCACCCTACAGTATGATTACAGCCAACCTCAGGGTCGCCGAGGCTTTCAGGCAACAAAGCCCCCAAATGAGCACATGTGCCCTCCACAGGAAGCAAAACCTGTATTTAAGGTGAGGAAGGACTCTGGCTCTCTGGTATCCTGGAGTTAGTTGTTTTGGTGTTTGAAAATGTAAGAAGTTGGTATGTTGCATGATATTTAAAGATTGCCTACTTTTTGTGATATTTCACCTTTTACAAATAGTTTGGTCTAACCTCCTACTAAATGATTGAATTGTGAATACTCACTGGTTTGAATAGTAAAGTTTAATTTTCATTGTGATAGTAGTTTTTTTTTACTTTATCCTGTTTTTTAATCTCTCCCGCAGAAAAAATCTGATGAGAGAAGAACATTCAATGAACAAAAGTTTAACAGCAGAAGGGTGGATGGTGCCGTGCCATCCAAGATGAGATCACCTCGAGGTGAACATCACCTATCTGCCCATTCAGAGAATAGTTTAAAACCAGGTGAAAATAGCAAAGTCTAGCATAATGTCTGCCTATGCCACCTTCCCCAGACAGTGCTGTCCAGTGGGCTCTCTCCTTATGACTGCTCCAAGAGATGCGTCCCTGAGGACATCAGACTTCTTACTGTAGTTTGTAGAAATCTTATATCTCAGGCAGCTGGGGGTGGGGGAGCTGCAGTTTTGCATTCTGCACTCAGAAGGGGCATTGTTAGGAAAATAAAGAACTTTCTTGAAGTTATGTAGCATGCAGGTAATGACCAGGAACTTCAAAACATGCCCTTAGAAGCAAACCACCACCATAGCTTGTATACTGTTTGTCCCTGCTCCCTCCAGAACTTGCTTCTCAATCATTGTGATGGGAGGCTGTTGATAGGTAGGAATGTTTGTGGTTAAAATCCCATGCTAAGTGATACCAAACCTGGGCACTATGGTTACTGGAGGCTATAAGTCAGGCTTAAAATCTTCTGTTCCCACCTGGTGAAAACTAGTGATTCTACATGGTGCCTTTTTTATTTTAGTTTTGAGACAGGGTCTTGCTTCATAGACCAAACTGGGCTTGAACTTGCCAATACTCCTGCCTCAGCCTCCTGAGTGCTAGAATTTATAAGTATGTATCATTGCACTCAGGAAAAGTTAAGATTTCTATTGCTGAGACACATTCCCAGCTACATGTATTTCTCCTATAAACTATTTACTAGCACAGTTTGATCACATATATCACTGTATAATGATTTACATCTTTTGTTTTTGGTGTACTTACTGGGGCTATGAACCTTGCATGTACTGTAATTCATATGACTTAGTTTAATAAATTTTTCTCTTCCCATCTATTCATAAACCACAGTGGCACAGTGAAAATTTCATTGTTAAGTGCAGTAACTTTTGCTGCATAACTTGGTGAAGAACTTCATGGACTGAAACTACCCCATCATTTATTGTATTTAAGGACAGGAAAGAATCCAGGAGTTTCATACTATGGCCTACAGCAAATAGAGAAGGGTAAACTTGATTACTTACAGAAATCTGTTAGGATCTTAAGTTTGTCCAACTCTAAAATATATATCATGATAATTAAACGCCCAGCTGTATAGTCAGGCTTAGCCAACTATTTCATCAACTTTAAAATTATTCCAGAAATTTGCATTTTGGTTGATGCCTCTGGTCATTTGTGTCTTGTGCCACTATAAAATAGGCTAGGAGTCCCAGCTTAATGCGGGTGTTTGGACAATAGCCTGCTGAATATTTGTGCTCTTCTGAAATTAAGCTTGAGTACTAGTCATCAGGCTATATCTGGGTTTTGACTCCTATTTTCCTCTTCCTCCTCCCCCTCCCTTTCTCCCTCCCCCTCCCCTTCCTCCTCCTCCTCTCACTACATAGACCAGGCTGACCTTGAACTCACAGAGATCCATCTGCCTCTACCTCCCAAGTGTGGAACTGCAGACATGTGCCTCTGTGCCCTGCTTTTACCCCTATTTTCATTCTGTAATTACAGATGGTTATCATAAACGAACAGACAGGAAGTCCAGAATCCTTCCAAAAAGCACGTCTTCCTCCAAACCTGAGTTTGAATTTAGCAGGCTGGACTTTCCTCAACTGCAGAGTCCAAAAAACAATAATGTACCAGAGATCCAGAAGCAGCCGAGGTGGGGGCCTCGCCACTCTGCTGACAGTGAAGTTTCTGTCTTAGAAGTAGGCAAGCCAGTTGCAGCGACTGTGGAGGTGAGTTGAGGGGCCTGTCTGCCTCTCTCATTTTTCTCTGTCCTTAGCACACAATTTTTAGTTATATCAGTTTAGACACTGTATGTTAAATCCTGGTGTGGGCTGTGAAGGCCAGGTTTCTGGGGAGAAGGTTTGCGGAGGTCTATCACCATGCACTTAGCCACACCGATTAGAATGAGACTATAACAGCCAGGGAAATTGTTTCTTTAAAGAACCCTCTGATATGCTTCTCCTTCTCCTTTTTTTTTTTTAAAGATTTATTTTTAGTTATGTATAAGTATGTATGCATATGTGTGTGCTCATGAGTGTGCTGGAGCTGAAGTTACAGGTAGTTGTTAGCCACCCAGTGTGGGTCCTGGGAACCAAACTTGGATCCTCTACAAGAACAGTATGTACTTTTCCCTTGAGCCGTCTTTCCAGCTCTGATATGCTTTTGTAGTGGTAGCTCAGAGGTAAGTATGGTGCCTCAGAAGGAAAAGGTTCTGGTGGAGTCCATGTTAAACACATTTCTAGCACTACAATCTGATATCATTTTAAAGGGGGTGGGGGCTAGAGAGATTGCTTGGTTGCAGGGGTGCTTATTGCTTTTGCAGAGGACCTGGGTTCTTTGCACTCACCATCAGGCAGCTTACAACCACCTGTAATTCTAGCTCCGGGGGATCCAGCACCATCTTCTGGTTTCCATGGGCACCTGCATGCTGATAGTACACAGGAACTCATGCAGGCACACACTTATACATATAAACAAAAAATAAATATTTTTTTAAAATGGTTCGCTCAGCAAGTTGTCTATTGACCTCCACATGAGCACTGTGATACAGGCATGCCCACGTCCTTCCCAAAAAAATAAGTGTAATTTTTAAAAATGAAATAGTAATATTTGAAACTATGTGGTCTATCTTCTGAAATTTCTAGGATTTTAGCCACATTCCTGTCTTGTCTTATTCATAACATGCTACATTCAGTAAAGCTTACTGCAATGGGTATTTTCATTTGGTCTCAAAGTTTTAGTCCACTAAATTAAGGCAATTGTGCTGGATAGCTTTAGTGTCAACTTGACACACCTGCATTGAGGGAGCCTCAATTGGGGAATTTCCTCCATTGAACTGGCCTGTGGCCAGATGTCTGTGGGACATCTTCTTGATTGTTGTGTGATTCAGGAGGGCCCCCTGGGCAGGTGGGCCTGTGTTGCATAAGAAAGCAGGCTGACCAGGGGCCAGGAGAGCAAGCCAGTAAGCAGTGTTCCTCCATGGCCTGTGCTCCAGCTCCTGCTTCCAGGTTCTTCCCCTGAGTTCCTACCTTGGGCTCCCTGATGAGCTGTGACCTGGGAGACATAAGCTGAATAAACCCTTTCCTCCTCAAATTGGTATTGGACAGAGTATTTTGTCACTCAATGGAGGGACAAACTAGGACAGCATTTTTCTCACAGATTTCATTATTTCAGGGAATAAAAGATGGTGGGTTATTGTGTTAGTTACTTTTGTTGCTATGACCAAGATACTGGACATAGACAACTTAAGGGCAGAAAGCTATATGTTGGCTCATGGTTTCAGAGGGTACGGCCCATCAGAGTGTGTAGGTATGGTGGCAGGCATGTGAAGTGATAGCTTGTTCACATGTTATGGACAGGAAACAGTGCAGCTCTGAACCAGAAGTGGGTATAACCTGCAGAAAAGGTGACCTAAAGGTTCCACAGCCTCCTACCACCAGCTCAGGGGAAAAATGCAAACACGTGAGCCTCTGGGATGACATTTTAGATCCAAATGATAAGTTAACAATCTCTATAGTAACTTTTGGCAGATTTCCACCCAAGGGAGAAGTAGGATATAAGACAGTATGGAAACAAGGAGAAAGAAGGTAACCATTCCTCCATTCATGTTCCCCTTTTTATCAAGAAGGTATTTCCATTTCCTGCCCTTGCCACTCTTAGGCACCTCATCTAAGGTCTGAAGGCTCTGACTGTGGCTTATACATGAGAAAATATGCCATCAAATCATATTTCCCATATGTGGACCCTTGTGCTAATGTCATACAGCATTGTGTCATATGTGAGCACAATAAGGCCGACTAATGGCTGTGTCTACAGGTATGTGCCTGCCTCCTGGGCCTCTGCTGAGTTCTGAAGTGGTCCAGTGTTCTATAAGCACCTTGTAGTGTAGGATGCTGTGCCAGCTGCAGCAGGGACAGATAGAGGAAAAGGGAAGGACTGACCCCCTATGTCAATGTCACCTGTCACCTGGTATGTGTGAGTGTTACATATCTGAGCATGAAGGAAAGATCATCCATTCATGGAAGATTTACACACTGATTGCCCTACTATCTTGAGTTATCTAAGGGCCTTTTAATCTTAAAAAAAAGAGGGGGTTTCCTGGACTCGGGGGATGGCTAAGTGAGTAAAGTACTTGCCCTGCAAGAGTGAGGACTTAGTTCAAATACCCAAAACCAATGTAACAAGGCCAGCCTGAAATGAAATGTCTGTAGTCCCACCCAGTGCTTTCATGGGAAGATGGGAGGTAGAGCTGGATTATCAGGAAGCTCCTGGGTCAGCTGTCCTGGTGTATGAGCAAAAGACCCTGTCTCAAGCAAGGTAGAGAAGAGGACCAACACCTAAGGTTGTCCTCTGACCTCCACACCATGGCATTTGTATACACACACACACACACACACACACACACACACACACACACACACACACCAGTTTTTGTTTTTTTTTTTTGAGATTTTGAGACAGGGTCTCCCTGTAGCCTCAGCTGGCCTGGAACTCACTATGTAGAACAGGCTGGCCTTGAACTCCCAGAGATCTGCCTGCCTCTGCTTCCCAAGTGCTGGGACTAAAGTTGTGTACCACCACACCTGGCCCTAAATTTTATTTTTACTATAACTGTTACTTTAGATCTATCCTATTTATAGCTGTAATTTATTTAAATGTTCTGAACCAAATGCTATTTTGTTTTTGTTTTCGTTTTTTTGTTGTTTTTGTTTTGAGACAGGATGTCTGTATGTGTTTTGGGTGCTAGGGATTAAACCCAGGTCCTCACAAATGCTTGGCAAGTGCTCACCAGTGACCTGTATCCCAACCCTAGGCTGTATTTTAATCATTTTAACTTTGGTTACTGGACTAGAAGCAATAAAATGGCAGGTGAGTGAATTTGTAAAGCATATGAGCTTGAAAATCGTTTCGAATCCATTGCCTGTTTAACAAATACTAATTAAATGTCTCCATTTGTTTTCACCAGTGCCTGGTTACTCTGAGGTGTGCTTTAGTGTTCTTGCATCTTGACCACATGTCACGTGCCTCACAGTCAGCAGGTGAAGCAGCCTGTTTCATAGGAGGGCACATGGATTTCTTGACTCCGTAGATTTTTTTTTTAATGGATTCTTTTGGACTTTCTTTTTTTTAAAAAATTTATTATTTTAATTTTATGTGTATGAGTGTGTTGCCTGCATGTATTTAAGTGCACCCATGTTGTGCAGTGAGTGCTTGAGGAGATCAGAAGAGGATGCTGGATCCCTTGGAACTAAAGTTATAGACAGTTGTTAGCCATTGTGTGATTGCTAGGAATCAAACCTGGCTCTGCTGCAAGAACAGCCAGTGCTCTTAGCCACTGAGCCATCTCTCTAGCCCCTCTTTTGGACGTTTTTATGTGACCACTCATAAGCATTTGTATGGGAATAGTGAGTTTTACGAGTTGTAAAGGTGTAAAGGTGCTGTTAGAGCTTTTTATGTGGTGTGTGTGTATGTGTGTGTGTGTATTTGACATTTATTTGTGTGTGCGAGTGTATGTGTCGTTGCATGCCACAGTACATTAATAGAGGTCAGAGGACAACCCACAGGAGTCAATTCCTTCTACCCTGTGGGTTCTAGGGGTTTGAATTGAGGTCTTCAGACTTAGTGGCAAATGCTTTTACCCACTGAGCCATCTTACTGGCCCTGGTTTATGGTATATTGTTTCTTTAAAAGTTGCATGCTTCTGGGTGTAGTGGCACATGCCTTTAATCCCAATACTTGGCAGACAGAGAGGCAGGCATCTCTCTGTGAGTCCCAGGCTAGCTGGGGCTACAGGGAGCCCCTAAAAAAAGTTGCATGTTACTTTAAGTAGTATGATCCTACTACTACATAGGTCATTGGGACCTATGTGAAAATAGTATGTGATGTTTATGTCATAGACAAAGAACTAGACTTTGCCTAAGTGGTGGTCAGTGGTGCATTTTTTTCTCTGTAGGGAATGAGACTTGCTGGAAAGAAATAGTTAACTTCTTACCATGTATTTAGATATTTGGAGTTTTTAATTAGTGTGTTTTTGTTGATTTTAAGAATTTGGAGGAAGCTCTGTTCAAACATCAGATGATTACTTTCAGTTTGAAGTAAGCAAATAACTGGTGGGCTGGTTTTTGTATTGCTTTTCAGTTAGACTGTTTTCTACAGCAGTTTTAGGGTCACAGCAAAACTGAGAGGCAAGGATGACTTTCCTTCCTATATACTTCCTGCCCTATGCACCCCTCAGCCTTCTTACTGTCAACACCCCCATCAGAGTGCACAGTGGCATGTCTGTCATGCCGTTCCATGGATATGTCGTTGTCACCTGGGGCTTCTCATTTACATACGGTTCACTCCTGGTATTGTGTTCTGTGGACAGATTTGTAACATGTGTCCATCATTATGGTGTCATGTAGAGTAGTTCACTGCCCTGAAGATCTCTGCTCCGTGCTCTCCCCAGCCCCTTCACCTACTGATCAGTCTTCTCAGTTTTGTCCAGAGTGTCCTAGAATTGGAATCATATGTTCTGTAACCTCTTTCACTTAATGTACATTGAATTCCTCTCGTGTGTTACCTTTTTTCCCACAGAGGTCTCATGTTGATCCTCCCCAGCAGTGGGTGAGCATCCAGTTGTGTGGCATCCACACCCAGATTGTCACTGTTGTGGAATTTGGCCATTCTGAAAAGTGTGTTAATACTGTGTCGTTGTAACCGGCCTCTCCCTGATGTTATCCGGTGTGCTCTTTTTAGGGAGAAGAGGTGAAGACAAGTAACCCACACGAAGCCATAGCTGATAATGCTGCTTCAGGGTTCCCTTCATGTACAGGAGGTGAGAGTGACTACGAAGTGCTCTTCTTAAAAATGAATTGTATGTGTTCTAAGCGCATTTAACACCAGTGCAGTTGAATGTTGTTTTGAAATTGCCTTTAAGGTAGCCAATGAGTTGTTAGTAAACGAGCATCAGTGTTGGTTTAGAATATAGGAACCCATATCCACATACAAGGAATGTAAACTATGTATATATACATATATTATAGTATTTATGAAAAATAATCCTCTAGAATTAAAAAGTGATGAAAGAGAGCAGCCTTGCCTTACAGTTTGCACTTTTTTAGTGTGTAGCTTGGCATTTGGCTGTTCTGCTGTTTGTGGGCTATGTAGCTTCAGAACCTCCATAGTACACTCCTGAGAGCAGAGAGTGAAGAAAATTGCCAATGCCTTCCTCCTACCTGGAAAACAGTTGTGACTTGGGAGACTTTCAGGAGCCTGTCCAGGAAGCCATGCATTCAGAAAGTGTTCAGGAGATTCTACTTCTGAGACTGTAAAGGAGCTGGTCCTAACAGAAAGTCTTAGCCATCCATTGATGTGTTGGCTTTTGTGTTCCCATGATGTGTTCTCACATCAGTGTGTATCTTTGCAGTGAGGCTGTTCTCAGTTCAGTAGCTCTCTAGTGTGGGGACACAGGCAACTGACAGGCGTTTGTCCCCTACATCTTGATGGGTGTCCTTATATTTTATCTGTATATAGGGTTTCATGGGCACCTAAAGAGTAGTGTCACTGTTCTTAAACCTGTGTTCAAAAAGAATAACTTAGCAGTTACTGTGATAATGAAGTCTAGTGATGTTTGACTTCTGATGTTAAAGATTAGTAGGACCCAGAGTGGATCTTCAGCTCTTTATTTCTTTGCTCACCATATGGATATTTTGTGGGTTGCTGTTTTTTAAACAAAACTCGTTTATTTACTCACCTCTATTCCCAAGTTTAAAAAAAAATCTACAAATGTGAATTAACTTTGAGTTAAAGGGAAAAAAAAAATCCAACTGAGCATGAATGCTTCAGCAGAAAAAAAGTGTAGTGAATATTATAGTCCCAAGCTGGTATTTTGAACAGGTGACGAATGCTGTAGTTATAAGGGGGTATTCCAGGCAGTTGGTGAATACTGTAGTCATATGGGGGTGTTCTGAACAGTGAACAACAGAGTCTCCAAGTGGGTGTTCTGGACAATCAGTGAAAAGTAGTCTTTCAGGGAGTGTTCTGGACAGTATCCTCATTTTCATCATGCTCTAATTCATTACCTTGTGTGAGACATGTTTATGTAATGGTGAAACTCCTGCTTACTCTTGAGATTGTTCAGTAACTATGGTTATTTTTGAGCAGAGTTATCTTGGACACCAATGGGCTATATTGTTCGGCAGACGGTGTCTTCAGAATCTTCAGCAGTGTCTGGAAACATTAGTTCCACGATAAGCCTAAAGACAGCTGCTTTATCAGCAGATGCTAAAGATGTTACTATGACATCTTCTGAGGCTTTATCTTCAGATCCTTCCTACAACAAAGAGAAACATGTTCATCCTACTACAAAGGTACACATCATTAGAGGCAGAAGTAGGATGGGGCTAGGCATGGTGGCAGAGGCCTGTAATCCAGCACTTGGGAGGCTGAGGAAGGAAGAAGGTAAATTCAAGGCCAGCCTGGGCTACATGGTGAAATATTGTCTCCAAAAAAGTAATTTGATGGTGAGTGCCAGGGGCTGGGGAGAAGTAATGGGCAGTTAGTGCTTAATGGGGATAGATGTACAGACAGTTCTGGAGGTGCCTGGTAATAGTAATGTAATATGTGCATAGACATTATGCCACTGACCTGTTCACTGAACCATGGCTAGATGGTAGATTTTATGTTGTATATATTGTACCATAGTAAAAAGAACAAATAAGCAAAAAGAAAAACCAAAGAGATATGCCTCACATATGGATCTGCTATGGCCCTGGCCAGTGTCTTTCCTTCCTTTGTCCTCCCTGAGAGTGCTACAGCCTATCCTGTACTCACTAGTCTGGACTTTTTCTGTGTACATCTTGAAGAAAGAATGGGATATTAATCTAAAAATAGGAGGGAGAGCTTTTATATATGAAAGAGTGTCTTTAAAATACCTGCACCAGGGCTGGAGAGAGGGCTCAGCAGTTAAGAGCACTGGCTACTCCTACAGAGGACCTGGGTTTGATTCCCAACACCCATATAGCAGCTATGAACCATCCTTAACTCCAGTTCCAGGGGAATCCAACGCCCTCTTTTGACCTCTGCGGAATTGCACAACACGGGTGCACTCATACATGCAGGCAATGCACTCATACACATAAAATAAAAATAATAAATGTATTTTAAAAACATACCTGCACCATATTGAGTGTTTTTATTTTTGTTTACTTATTTATTATTTGTGTGGATGATGTTTGGGATTACACCCAGGGCCTTGTACATGTTAGGCAAGTGCTCTACCACTGAGCATTACCCCCAGCTCTTTTATTCTTCAAAGAAAAGATCTAGTGTAAGTATAAGATCTACTCTGATGGATGAAGCTGCTTCATCTTTTTCCTCCTGCCTTTTGTCTGTTGAATTTAAGTGACTTTTATCTGTACTATTATGTAGTGAATAGTAAAATAACAGAATTTAATCTTCTGTAACCTCCTGGTATATCATGTTCATTTCAGTTCACCTGTTATAAGACAGTATATCAGAATAGGTTTTTCACTTAAACATCACAGCATTCCCTTCAGGTTAATAAAATAACTCATTCTTTTTATAGTTGAGCCCTTTTCTCCTGTAGGTCAAGTTCCCCTGGGACAAAGCAGTGTCCCAAACATAGTGGTGATAGATCCCAGTCTAGTGAAGGCTAAAAGTATGCAGGGACAGAACACAGCAGAGTGATTAGTGCTCCCAAGAGGAAACCAAGCCAGGTCTGCAGATAGATGGAGGGGCCAGCTGCAAATGAGGTGGTTTGTAGCATAATACTGGAGAGGGCTGAATGGCCAAGCCAAGCAAGCCCTGAGGCTCAGGGCATATCAGCCCTGGGAGAAAGGAGTCAAACTGAGGGACTGTGGGGGTAGCAATCATCCTAGCTGGCTTAGAGCCAGGCTGGGGTATGATCAGAGGCTCTAGGAGTCTGATACTCATCAGACTCAAGACAACAAGCACATCTCTTGAGGCGTTTGCCCTGTGCTGGCAGGAATTACATACTTGAGTGCCAGCAGCCTGACTGGCAGCCTGACTCCTTGAGGTGAGCACTCCACTGTTTCCAAGCCCTCCAGTCTCCAGAAAAGTGGCACATACCTGGTTCCCAGTGTGTTTCCTTCAGATTCATCTTCCCAGTTGTGGCCAGTTTAGAAATCAGGATGAGGTGCCCAACTTAGAATTGCCGTGGAATTGTATAGCTTGCTATCTTTATTTTGTTCTGATACATGTTAAAGATTCTATAAAGTGCCTTCAAATCTCACAATTTTTGCTTTGTTTTTTGATCTAGGCCAAAACATCACAAAGTGGTGAACTTGAACAAAATGAAACCTCAAGAAAGAATAAGAAAAAGAAAGAAAAGTCTAAATCAAAATATGAAGTTCTGACAGTTCAGGAGCCACCAAGGATTGAAGTATGTGTGCTTCTTTCTTGCTTTGTGTAATGGAAGAAGATTTTTCTTTTTTTATACATATATTTTATTTACTATTTTTATTTTATGTGTATGAGTGTATTGCCTGCATGTGTGTAAGTGCACCCATGTCCTGCAATGCCATGGAGGTCAGAAGAGGGCTTCTGATTCCCCTGGAACTAGAGTTGAGGATGGTTCATAGCCACCATGTGGGTGCTGGGAATTGAACCCGGGTCATCTGCAAGAGCAGTCAGTGCTCTTAACCACTGAGCCATCTCTTCAGCCCCGAAGAAGATTTTTCTTAGTGGATGCAGGTTCATATTGGCTTCTAGAGTGAAAATCTGTAATGCTTTCTTTAATAAGCCCTTTTCTGGTACAAAGGCAAATAATAGTTGGCCAGGTGTGGTGGTGCACTGTGATCCTGGCACTTGGGAGGCAGAGGCAGGAGGATCAGGAATTGAAGGTCATCTTCAGCTCCTCCATCCTTCAGGATGGGGGATAGCTGAAACTACATGAGAACCTGTGTCCTAAAAGAAAAAAAACAGTGGCGTTGTTTTACCTTTGCCTCTCAACTTCCTGGCTCTCCGTGGCAGGCTCCCAGAAGGCTCTTGAGTAGACAAATGGTCGAGAGAAACCTTCTTGTTTGGGACTAAGTAGCTGGTGTGCAGGTTGCTCCTGTTTCTCTGAGGTTCTGCTCTTTGTTGTTTTACTTGCTTAGATGCCAGCTTTTGCTGGACCTCTTTTCTAGTCAAGTGTCTTGTAAAGGGCTTCACTATTGAGAAGTTTAGAACACCGTGGAGTTATTGTAGATCAGTTAAGAGAATTCCATGAACTTCCTTCTAAGACTATTCTTTAATTACTGTTCTAAAACATACCTTTCTCCCCTACCTCTCCCACAACACAGAGGAGCCAGCCTGGGTTCTGACTGTGTTTCCCATGGGCCTGGCTCTTCACACTGCCCTAGTAGACTCAGTGTCCTGGCTATTTGTCTCCCAGGAGTACCACCTAGGTCAGGTATCCAATGTGAGATCAAGCCCAACACATTCCCACAAAATGGAAAGATCAGGCTGGGCATGGTAGCACACTCTTTTAATCCTCCATCTCCAGAGGCAGAAGCAGGTGGATCTCTGTGAGTTCTAGGCCAGCCAGAACGACATAATAAGATCCTATCTCAAAAGCAAACAAAAAATGGAAAGGTTATTCCCAAGGCTCTTGGAACATCCAAGAATAGCAGTTAGGTGGTAAGGCTGGTTAGGTCAGTAAAGAGTTCACATTTCTGCCTTTTGATTCCCATGTGACTTCCCTCAGCAAAATGTTGACAAAATTCTGACATGACCTAAGATACTTTAAGATTTTTAAGCAGGCTTGTTGCCTTTGTCTGTTTACTAGCCTGTTTGGTGTAAGTCTCAAGAGTATGTAAATCTGCTGATTTTAAGTTTCATGGTTTCTCTATTGAAAAGCATGAGTCTTTTAGAAAATGGGTTTTTAAATAGAGTTTTGCCAAGGCGTTTGCAGTCAGTTCTGTGGACTCCTGCAGTGTACCTAGGTCCTGGCTAGCACTGTATCTGGGACATATGTATTGGAACTGTGACCTTAAAGTTTGCTGTAAATCACCTTTGAGAGCATTTGCGGGTCTCTTTAAAAGAAGATGTGAGCAAAGAAGAGACTGCAGCTGCTCAGGCTCCTGGTGCAGAGAGCTGACCATGTGCTTTCCTCAGGATGCCGAGGAGTTCCCCAACCTGTCAGCTGCATCTGAAAGAAGACACAGAGCAGAATCACTGAAACTGCAAAGTCAACAGCAGACACAGGTAATCTTTCTATTGACCTCAGTTACCTTAGGCTTAACTTTTCGTTCAGCTCAACTGTTGAGAGAGGAGGGAAGGCAAGTAGTTTTCTTTTGGTTTATTCCTCCCAGGGACAAGGACAGTATTGCTACTAAGCTAAAACAGTTTGTCTCTTTTTAAAGACTTGTTAACTACAACTGCTGTCAGGAAGAAGGGGAGCATGCTGCCTAGAAACTAAAGAGGGCAGTGATTCTTCTGCCCTAGTCCAGTACTAAACCAGAGGGCAGTGATTCCACACGAGCCTAGTAAGTATCAAGAGAGAGAGAAAGATTTTCCTTCACCCCCATAGATTCAGGAGCAAGGTATTCATAAGGAAGATGAGGAACACGTGCACTTTGGGTCGTTGATTTTCTGGCAAGTTCTTTGTTATTTTGCCTTTTAAGGAGGGAGATTGTGACAAGGTGGGCACACCCGAAATCCAGCACAGGCAGAGGCAGGAGGATTATGAGTTCCAGGCCAGCCTGTACTACAGAGAGAGACTAAAACAAAGAAACAAACAAATAGTGGAGGGAGTCATTTATAAAAAATTAAATTCTGGACCCTGTGGGACTTGAGTTCAGTTCATACATTAGAATTTGCTGAGCCTCCATCCCTTAAACAAGCAGAGCTTCTTGCCCATTGTCCCTGATGTGAGCTCTCAGCCCATATTGTTGTTAGTGACAGGGATAACACATGGTAGAATGGTGGGGACAGAGGTGCTAGAGCAGAGGGAAAGTGCCTGAAGACACACAGCCTTTTATATGGTCTTAAAACTCATATCACAGTTGTACCAGGATGGTGGCTCACCCTCATAATTACAGCACTTAGGAGGCTAAGGTAGGAGGATCATGAATTCTTGTACTCAGGAGTAGCCTGGGCTCTATAGTGAGCTCTCAGGCCAACCTGAGCTATATAGTAAGACAGTCTGAAAAATAGAACAAAACAAAAACCCCACACAACTGTTTCAAAAATTAATTGCTTAGAAAAATAAGAGAGGTTGCTTTTTAGTATTCATCTGCTGGGTACTGCTTGGATCTCTGTGGATTTGGGCCATGACCCTGTAACTTCATGGCCACTTTATAGCAATGTATTGGTTCATTGAAGTTTTTGAAGAGAGAATCTATATGAGGCCAGCCAAGACTATACAATGAGGCCTTATCTCAAAAACAAACAAACAACAACAAAAACCCATAAAAATACAACAAAAATTAAAAAATCAAGTAATAAAAAGTGTGAGGCAGCAATTCTAACCAAGTAGCCTCATACACAAACTTAAGTCCTGGGATTATTGGGGTGTGTCTCCGTGCTCACCTTCCCACACAAACTTCTGTAGCCAAAGATTTCACGTAAGCTTTGGTGTCTTACCTACGGGTGCATGTTGTTAATTAACAATGGAGATGTAGATAGAAATGGAAGGAAACAGTCAACCATGAAACAGATAACATGGAACTTTTTATTACTTGATTTTTTTGTCGGGACTCAGGTTTGCTTCGCTTAGCGGGGGACCTACTGGCTTCGGGGCAGAGGGTCTAATTGGCGACAGAGTCATAAACTCTGGGACCTGTGTCTTCCCAACAGGACAGTTTATTTTAAAATTCAGATGGTTTTTATACATCCCAAGGAACTACCAGTCACGTGGGATATGGCAGTCTTACACAAAGATTTAGAGTACAAAGAAACAGGACATTTAGTCTGTTAGTTGGTGCCAGAAGGATTCTTAAACTTTTACTCAAGGTTATCAATGCCCATCCAGTAATTTATTGGCCACAATGTTTTCTTTCTTAGAGCTAAGAGCATGGTGAACTTTTAGGTTTTAGCTCAGGAGTAAACCTTTAACCTGGCCTAATCTCTTAGCCAGGGATAGCTGAGTTATTTGTTTGGGACAAGGAGATGAGCTAAGGGTTGTTGACCAAGGCGCTTTCCCACAGAGCAGGGAACCTGCACTTTTATGACCCGGCCGCTTCCCCCTGCCAGTCTAGCAGTGTTCTGCAAGACAGGGATTATCAGAGCCACTGTTTTCAGTGCCCCTCCCTTTAGCAGAGAATGCAGCCTGGACCTATAAGTTTTAGGCTCACCTCACCCTAGGGCCTGGCATCCTGGTTTCCTACAATTTTTGTTTTGTTGTCTTTTTGTGGGTTTTTGTTGTTTGTTTTTGAGATAAGACCTCACAGTGTAGCCCTGGCTGGCCTCAAACTCATATAGATCTGCTTTTCTGTGCCTCTAGAGTGCTGGGATTAAAGGTATGTGCTACCACACCCAGCTAATTGCCTGATTTAAAAGAAATTTTAAGCCTTTTATAATCTCTAAACCTGTTTGCTTTATCTTTGTATGTATTTTTTTCATAAAGTATAAACCTTAATGTATAAAATACAGTATTAGGAATGAAGTTGTGAATTTTGAACTCCTTGCAGAATGATTTTAAAACTAATGGAAAGAAGAGCCAGATTCCAGTGCAGCTGGACCTGGGAGGCATGCTGGCTGCACTGGAGAAGCAGCAATATGCTTTACATGCCAAACCTTCCTCCAGACCCATTGTGTTCTCAGGTAGGCACCTTCATTTCTCAACAAAGACTCAGAACTCTTTCACAGAGACTGTTCTGTAAGTACCTTCTTCTGTACTCAGAAGTTACATACAATCATGATAGTAAGGTACTGAATAAACATGAACGTGGACCAGTGGAGGAGCACTGAGAACCCAGAAAAATAAAACTGATATCCGTGGCAGTTAATTTTTGTTAAAGGTGCTGAGTACGTTAAAAAAACAAAAGGCATTCTCTTCAGAAAGATTCTGGGATGATGTCCTCTTCAGGTGCTAAAGGGTGCATCTGCTCACCCCATAGATGAAGACAAATTCACATGCACCAGTGAGCTAAGTGTTAGAGCTAGAGCTATAAAACTTTAGACGCAAGTGTGTAAATCTTTGTGACATAAAATTAGACACATTTTAGATATGGCAGTTAAGGCACAAGCCACAGAAGAAAAATGAAGGATTGGACTTTATCTGAATTAGGCTTTTGTTTACCAAAGGACATGAATAGAATGTGGAAAGACATATGTAAGCCATATATCTGAAAAGAGCTCAGTATACAAATCCATAAGAGCATCTACCAAAATAGACAATATAGTTAAAACAGGGAAAAAGGACTTAAAAATATAGTTCTCTAAAGACGTACATCTGGAGAGCATGGTGGTGTATACCTATAATCCCAGCACTCAGGAGATAGAGACAGAAGGTTAACCTGAGCAATATAATATTGCAAAATCTTGTCTCCAGAAAAAGACAGGGCTGGTGTTCTAGATACTTTTTCTGTTGCTGTGATAAAACATTGATCACAACCAACTTGGGGAGGAAAGGGTTTATTTCCGCTTACAGGTTACAGTGCATCATCTAGGGAAGCCAAGGCAGGAACCTGGAGGCAAGAACTGAAGCAGAGACAATGGAAGAACACTACTTACTGACTTGCTCAGCTACCTTTCTCTTTCTTCTGGCCTCCACAGGCACACCCACTCACAGCACTCACACAGACACACACGAATACATATAAATAAAAATAAAACCTAAATAATAGCCAGGCGTGGTAGCAAATAATAATAAAATCTAAACAACAACCAGGCATGGTGGTACATACCTTTAGTCCCAGCACTCTGGAGGGAGGGGCAGACAGATCTCTATGAGAACAAGGCCTGCCTTGTCTACATAATGAGTTCTAGGCCAGCTGGGGCTACAAGAAGACCCTGTCTCAAAACTACCCCCCCCACACACACAAAATCTAACAGACAAAAAACCCACAACTGGCAAAAAAAAAAAATATGAAAATATAGTCATCATTAGTCATGGAGAAGTACTAATCAAAATTACAATGAAATGCCATTTCACATCTACTATTATGGTTAGAGTCAAAACCAGGAAGTCACAAAGGTAGTTAAGAATGTGTAGAAATTGGAGCATTTGTACACTACCCATGGTGTATTAAACAGGGCTGCCACTGTAGAATCAGCCTGCTGGTGTCTGGGAGTGGTTATTATATAGAGTTACCGTAAGACCTAGCTGTTCTACACCTCAGTGTTTTCCAGAAGGATAGAAAGCAGATTCGGGCTGGGTGTGGTGATTCACACTTGAAATCCCAACACTCAGAAGACTGAGATAGGAGGATTGCCATGAATTCAAGACCAGACTGAGCTACATAATGAGTTCCAGGCTGGCTTAAGCTACACTGTGAGCCTCTGTCTCAAAACCAAACCAAACCAAAATAAGCAGCAGCAACAAAAAAGAAAGCAGAGTCAGATGGTTGTATGCCAGCATTCTCTACAGCATTATTCATAAGAGCCAAAAGGTGGAAATAAAACTATCCATCAGGTCAGCATGGTACATTCCTACAGTGTATTATTACTCAGGCTTGAAAAAGAAATGAGTTTTGATGCATTCCACAACATGAGTGAAACCTAAAAACATTACACTAGGTGAAGTAAGCCACATAGAAAAATACCGTGTGGTCTACTCAAACATGACAGTACTCACATTCACAGAACCAGCGTAGTAGCATAATGGAGAAAGTGGACAGACATCTGTTTATGAGGGCAGAGCTCCAGCACATGGCCAAAATAGTTCACAACAATGTTGTGACTATAATTATGCCATCCAATTATCCTTTAATAGTTAAATTGTACCCTGTAGGGAGACTGAGCCCAGCCTGGGCTACATAGTGAGTTCAAGATAAGGCTTAGCTCCACTGCAAGATCCTGCCTCAAATATAGAAGTTACATAGTAAATTTTATGTTGTAATTTACCACAATTAAAAGTTGTACTTAAATACAGTCTTTAAAAATACTTTATTATTTTTATTATATGTATGTTGCCTGCATGTGTGTAAGTGCACCTGGGTCGTGCAGTGCCTGTGGAGGTCAGAAGAGGATGTTAGATTCCCTTGGAACTGGAATGGCGTTATGGACCATTGTTAGCAGCCATGTAGGTACTGGAAATCAAAACTGGGTCCTCTGCAAGAACAGCCAGTGCCCTTAACCACTGAGCCATCTCTCTAGCCCCTTAAATACAATTTTTAAGAACCATCTTATTAAAAGCTGAGGACTTTATTTATTTAATTGTGTGTGTCTGTGTGTGTGTGTGTGTGTGTGTGCGTGCGCACATGCCACCATGCACATATGGAGGTCAAAAGACAACTCTGGGGGAGCCATTTTTCTCTTTCCACTGTGGGTTTCAAGGATGGAACTCATGTCAGGCTTGTAGGGCAAGTTGTCCTACCCACTGCTTTCCCCCTTTATATGATGAGATTTTTGTTGCAGATAACCTCGTTAGTATGCCGTATTCCCTAGGTCTTCATTGCATTCCACAGACATGGATTCCCATGCCTGTGCATGGGGTACCACTATGCACAGGGTCTAGTCAGCACTAATGGAACTGTCCTCTCCCATGTTACTAAGGGTGAGGACAAGCACAACCTACAACAGGTGCAACCTCTTCACCAGACTCTTCACCAGTGCAAACTCAAGATTTTGTGGAAAGCCCTTGGAGGTTCCTCAGTCCAGCCCAGCAGCCCTGTCGTCAGTTTTTCTGATTCTAATAGCATCTGATCTTACTATATGTGCTCCTTTGTGTGAAGATGCTTTCTACACAATCTTTTTAGATTCAGTAATGATTTATGTTTCTTTTTGGGGCGGGGGAGAAGGAGTCTATATTTGATCAAGAAAAATTGCACGAAAAGCACAAAAACTCAATAAAAATATTTCCAAAAAGAACATCTTATTCTGATACTAGGGACAATATGTAGAAAATTCACATTTATAGAAATAAGTATAAAAATATTTTAAACAATTTTAAACACCTCTGCCTAAAGAATTTTATTTATTTTCTTTTATAATTACTCCTTATTTCAATCTGTGTTATACATACTTTTCAAGGTGTTCAATAATGTACAAACTGTAATAAACATTTTGGCACATATCTTTTTGCACATTTTAGTGTCACTGCATATAGGTTCTTAGTTGTACATATCTTGGGCGTGTGTGTATTTCTAATTTGATAGATCTTGGTTAATTATCCTTTAAAATATTCCAGTCAGTTACAGTAGTGTTTAAAATTGTCCTTGTACCTGCCACTGATTTAAGATTTTTAATATATGATTCTGTTATAAATTGATAAGTATGACTAATAGATTTTGTTTCAACTCATTTGAAAAGGTAGAAAAGATAGGGATTGGCAATATGGCTCAATGGTGAAGGCATTTACTGCCTGACAATGCAGGCCTGACCTGAGTTTGATCCCCGGAACTCCATAAAGGCGGAAGGAAGTTTTGTTTGTTTGTTTGTTTGTTTGTTTGTTTTTGTTTTTGTTTGAGACAGGGTCTCCCTGTAGCCCCAGCTGTCCTGGAACTCACTGTGTAGACCAGGCTGGTCTTGAACTCACAGAGATCCACCTGCCTCTGCCTCCCAAGTGCTGTGACTACAGGTGTGCACCACCACGCCCAGCTAGTTAGTTTGTTTTTTCGTTTGTTGGGGGTTTTTTTGGTCTTTTTGAGACAAGGTCTCCCTGTAGCCCCAGCTGTCCTGGATTCACTATGGAGACCAGGCTGGCCTGGAACTCACAGATATCCTCCTGCCTCTGCCTCCCGAGTGCTGGGATTAAAGGTGTGTACCACCACACCCAGCTTGTTTGTTTGTTTTTTAAATGTGTATGAGTGTGTTACCTGCATGTGTGTAAGTGCACCACTGTTGTGCAGTGCCGCTGAGGTCAGAAGAGAGCTTCAGATTCCCCTGGAACTGGAATTAAGGACAGTATTTAACTGCCATGTGGGTGCTGGGAATCAAACCCTGGTATTCTGCAAGAGCAGCCAGTGCTCTTAACCACTGAGCCATCTCTCTAGCTCCGGAAGGAAGTTGTTTTTTTTTTTTAATTCTTTTTTAATTTTTTAATTTTTTTTTCTTTTTCCTTAGTAAAAGCAGATATTTTAGCATATGTTATGGAACAAGCTCCACACTGAATTATTTACGCGTATTAATTATACAATCACTCTGAAAATAATAGCAAGCTAGATCTAGGACTTGTAGTCTTATCTACAATTCTGTAAAGATTCTGTTGGGAAAGAGAAGTTGGGCCTAAAATATTGGTTCACGTATCTTGAGAATACTTCTTTTCTGATAAGATCCTCTGTTTCTTTTTTTCATGTACTCTTCTTATTTTTTTAATGTGGATTTTGACTTCTCTAACATTCCCCCCTCTGAAGAGGTAACCCTAAAATCTTTTAAGGATTAGATAAAAGCTCCCAAATACTTTTGACATTTTTGGCCTTTGAGTGGAGTATGTTGCTAAGAGACACAAGGACATTGTGTTTTACCCAATAAACTGGCTACTTTTCTTTGGGGTCTTTTTTCCCTATGCCAATTCCTACCTCCTATTCTTATCACACCATTCTGGTGTGATTACCCAAGAGGTTACCCAACTTTTGGATAGGGAATCAGGACACAGACTGCTCTGGCTTCTTCCATGCTGAGCAGGGTAAGGCAACTGGAGTACCCCTTCAGTGGGTCTA